CTTTATTAGCCGCAGAGCGCACGAAGCGCCGCATTTACAAGGGTGTGGATACGCGCGCGTCCCATTCGCGCCTCCTCACCACTACAGCTTCTGCGCCTTCGTCATGCAACAGCCTTTAAGTGAAGCTCCATGTTATTGTTATTCCATTTTTCGCCTCATTTGATCGCTTTCAGATGCCGTGTTGGCACATTATATGAAGAAAAACGGGTATGATAGCCGAAGAATGTCGAACAGGTAAGATTACGCTGTGTCTCATCCTACTTACAAATCGCCGGATTTTATAGAGCAGCGACTAGGACATTTCGAGAAGTGACTATGAATAATGTCCCGGACTCGCTTCGCTACCTTTCAGACGGAAGCAAATTCCTGTAAGTGCACCAAGCGGATCTACACATCTACATGTCGCAGGAGATCGCCAAGGTAGGATTTTATTCCTGCTGTTTTGTTGATTATATCTTTGTTTCAGATGGATAAGGACCTAATCGCTTTAGTAGGGGATGGAATTCACCAGTTTAACCCGTGCGGCAAATGCTGATCTGCAGTACGCATGGACAAAGGGCAGGTATACACGATACATGGTGTATGCAGAGCAGGATTCGAGGCAAGAGGCACATCGCCTTTGCTTCCATTCGTAATTTTCTATATTGCAGATACCTCTTCTTTTTGCCATTATAAGAGCAAGCGCAAGGATGATTATTTCATATTTGATATTGAAGGCGGCGATACAAGAAGCCAACGAAAATCAGGAGAACCTGGAGTTGAGAATGATCCGCGACTTCGACTGGCCGCGATCAGCGCAGCGACAAGTATTTTCGAGCTCTTCAGTGGAGGGATGTGCTTGACATTTGAGTTAAGCTTGGGTCAGGAAGCGAAATGCGCTTTGAATTTTTCAGTTTTTCAATGGCAATGAAAGGTATGGATCTGTGGTGGGGACTTCCTTTCTGCCGACTGGGTATTTCCGACGTGACGGCATTGCAGAACCCACCCGTGGAACGTGGACATGCGGCGTATGAACGGTGCAAGAAATTCCTAAATTATTTGCGGAATAAGGTTGGATGGACCTTTCAAAAATATGGGTGCAAGTACATGGTTAGCGTGTAATGGACGACAAACAGCGCTGAAAATCATCACGCGTTAGTTTGAACAGTATATATCAACATGTCTCTATTTGTAAACTTCTAATTTAAGGAAACTGCGGAAAAGTATAGGGAAGAAGTACCCACCATTGGCGCTCATACTGAATTCCCGTAGCTTCACGTCTGTAGCCAAGGGGTACGCTGGCAAGGATGGACATGAGAAAGAACGAGTCGAAAATGCTCAGGGACCTGTCATATTTCGCCCAAAAAA